ATGAAGGCAATGATCTGATGTGTTTCTGGAAGTCTTCTTCAATGTTAGATGCCATGTACGAGATTTCAACAGCGTGGGATACAGTAAAGCCATCTGTATTGAAAAATTCATGGAAGAAACTGATGCCTTTCATCACTAATGAAGATGATGAAATCCATGGATTCACTGGATTCATTGAAAATGAGATAGCCATAGAATTGACAAAATTGGCTAACCAAGTTCATGGTGGTGAAGAAGTCAACAAGGAAAATATAAAAGAGTGGTTTGACTGTGACTCGTGTGAGCCGAGCTTCGAAATGTTAAGCAGTGACAAAATTGTAAGTTCAGTGGGGCTGCAGCCAGAAGAGCGGGAAGAAAGTGAGAATGAGGAAGAGGTGGACAGTGCTGCTAGTAAGAAAATATCACATGGTGCTGCTCTTAATCATTTGGAATCCTTACTAGACTGTCTTGAGGGTGAAGAGAAGAGTTTATTAAGTGACAAGCTAATATTACATAGGCTTCGTACGGATATCCATAAAAAGGAAAATGCCACAAAAAAGCAAACGACAATATTACATTTTTTTTAAGTGTTAAGTGTGAATATTCGTAAAAAGTGTTAGATGTTGTTGAACACTGTGATTAAAATAACTAATTCATACTTCAGTGTAATGTAAAAAAAGTATTAAATAGGCCATGAGATGACATAAAAATGAGGTTGAATAAATTTAAATACAGGTAGGCCTATAGTATTATGAAGGCACAGTATTTCAGTACTACTTTTAATAAAATTTGCCTTAACCGGGTTTTCGATTAATCGTGATTTCCATCCCCACCATTCATTCTTTCATTCATTCATTCATTCATTCATTCATCAGTAATCTATCAGATGACAGGTCCACAGTCTCTTTCAAAACAGTTCCTCCGCTTAATGCAATCTTCTGCTTTTGGAAAGAGACTATCCAGGAAAAGTTATAATGTGGTAGTTTTTCCATTTGCTTTCCACATCGCAGTACAACAGCCCTTCAAACCACTCTGGTCACGCCTGTTGCTATACAAACTTGAACCATCTTGAGTATCATTTGCTCTGTGCTTCAAGTTGCTGCTGATGATGCTGCTTCCGGCATCAGTTTTTGGTTTTTGGTGTCTCTCTTCGTCTGATGCCTACCCTTTGACCTGTCCAGCAAGGGATGCCCTGCCAGTAGCTACGCTACTGTTAGTATAGCTCTCAGGGTCCTTGGCACACTCAAACCCCCTCGCCACGATAAGGTGGAGACACCAACGAGGGGGGCCTCACCTAGGCCACAGAAAGGTCAAGGGAATAAGAAACCTAAGTGACAAGGAGACAGTGAGCGTCACATGATACATATTTGTCACTGGTTAGGACTTTGAGGGGTCAAGCTACTCATTCTTAGGTTCTGGAATGCTTACTTTCTGTTATATGAGGATAGGGCAAGGTAGGATGGGTTAATGGAACCTTTACAGGTTGCTAGCCATGAATAATTTCAGAAGTAAAACTGCAGGTATAATTGGTGCAAAATGTGAGAGGAGAACAGTGACTGCTAGTTAGGAATCAGTTATTATGATTAATATGCTAGATGAAGCCCTTATTTTATGCCGTGGCTTTCCATATATGAAGTGTGAAGAAAGAGATGGTTCTCATGATTTTTGTCACAATAATGAATTCCTCGTTGTAAGCCTTTCATTCTTTGGGTTCACTATACACATTAGGAAGCATATGCATAGCTGAATGATTCTTTTTTAATTATCTTGAGAACCATAAGTCTTATAAGGAAAGTTTATTGGGCACAAAGTGTTTGTTTCGTTTTTTCTATAGCTTTTGTCCAGACCTTTTCTTCTGTGGTAACTATTTTACAAGTCGTGCTGAAGAGAAGTGCAGAAACACATGTAAGTATTTAACTAAGTTGTGCAGGATCTTTGATTTTAACTGAAATTGGAATGCATCAGTAAATGTTATTAAATCTTCCAATATCAAATTTCTTGAAAACCTGTTCAGCATTTCTCAAGTTACATATATACAGATGGTTATGTGGAGCAATTGTAATAGGTACTTTGCTATGTGGTAAAGATGTCTAAAATGAGACCGCATCCACTTCCTTGTACTCTTCCTAATTTGCAGCTATAACATTCAACACAGTGTAACCTCTGCTGCTTAACCCTTTGACGTGGTCATTTAAATTCCGCGGCCGCGGCTCCTGCGGTAATATATTCAGCCGGCCATTTAAATTTTGCTCGAAAATTATTTATTCATCATTGTTCTTAAATTCTATGAGATAGGAACATGAAACTTTCACTAAAATGATCTTAAATGGTGGTTTTATAACCTTACCTTATAATATGGGCGCCCTGTATCTCGGCCATGGAAGCAGGTTGTTTAGTATTTCAGCAGTGAATGGTACGCCTTGAAGGATGAAACTTTCACTAAAATGATCTTAAAAGATGGTTTTTATAACCTTACCTTACCTTATAA